GCGTTTCTCCCTTTCCTGAATCCACTTTGATTTGGTGATAACAGATTTTTAAATTCTAAATAACTATATAGCCTTTTAGTTATTATTTTTTCCATTGTTTTCCCCAATTGTGAATTCAAAGCAATGGGTCTATAGTTGGAAGGATTTGAAGGATCTTTACCTGGTTTTAATATTGGTATTATTATTGAATTTTTCCATGAAGTTGGTATTTTACCACTATCCCAAATTAAATTAAACAAAATTAATATTGCTTTAATAGAATTTTCACCCATATGTTTTAACATATCGTAACAAATATTGTCTTTTCCAGGAGATGATTGATTAGTATTACTAAGCGCTCTTTTAAATTCAAATAAAGTAATAGGTAGATCCATCGTCCCTCCATTGACAGTTTTTTTTGTTATCTATATTTGGATGGTTTTTTAATATATTGCTCCTCAACTCCCTAACATTTGCTGAAATATTGTCAGAACTATGTATTTTAACCAGTGTTTTAACTAATAATTCTGCTTTATCTAGATCAGTTATTGCAACAGTGTTTTCATTTTTAATTATTGGGATTTCATATTTCCTAGTTATTCCATTCATCTTCTTTATCATCCCCCACACATCTGATAATTTAGTTTCTCTCCCTATGGTAGAGCAATATTTTTGCCAGTATTCTCTTTTTGCTTTTCTTATTGTTCTCCTAACAATTGCTTGTTTCCTTTTATAAAATATTAACTTTTCAATTGTATGCTGAACTTTTAGTTGTTTAAATGCTTTATTCCTTTCTTTAATAGCTTTTTTACAGTCCTCATCCCACCATGGAACATTCTTTTTAATTCTACTTCCTGTACTTTTAGGTATTGCTTTATTTGCATTCTGTATAAGTATTGTTGTTAATTTTTCATTAAATTCTTCAATATCTTTAATATCTTCTCTAATAATTTCTCCACATTTAATTTCAGTCAGATTTTGAAACTTGATCCAGTTTGCTTTATTAAATTGCCACCTAGGTACTCGAAATGTTTTTCCTTTAAGAACATCCAGTCCTATTTTAATGGTTATTGGATAATGATCACTACCAAGTGATGTTTTATTTATTACTTCCCACTGCGTAATTCCTGCAATGTTATTTGAGGTGACTGTTAAATCTATTGCTGTTTCTGTGTTCTTTGTAATATTATATCTGGTCCCTGTTCCATTATTTATGCACACCAGTCTGTTATCATCAATGAATTCCTCTACGTTTCTGCCATTTATGTCTGTGTGATCACTTCCCCAAAGATTATTGTGAGCATTAAAATCTCCACACCAAACAATTTTCCCCTGTTCCTGTCCTCTAACTATATTCAGTGTTTCAATAGTTAATTCTTTACATGGATGACAGTTGTTTTTATGTTTTAACACATCGGTTATGAAACTGACTAAGGTCAGTTGGTCATGGTGACCATCTTAAACTGAATTGACTCCAAAAGTTAATTAGTTATGGTTGTCTATCTAATGAATACTTTGATTACAACATGATGATTGCAGCACTTTCTTTTTCTTGTCCACTCTCCCGTATAGCTTAGACAGTAAAGAACTAGGACAACAGTTCATACATGCACAGACTGTCCCATCTCACCTGTTGAAGCAGGTAAATCCTTCAGAGTGCTCACAGACTTTGAACAAGAAACAGAAAGTTGATAAAGAATAAAACCAAGGTTTCGACAGGGACGCAGTGGGTGTAACATCACACAGAGTGAAAAACATGACACTGGAGCATGTGACATGTGTCATGAAGATAGCATGCCACAGTTAAGTGGAAATAAAATCCAAACTGAACAACTAGAGTTGATTAAACAATCAGACACATTAAAAGTTATTTTTATTCTTATAGACTTTAAGAAAAAAGATAATATGGTGCATACTATACTGTAAATTCATTTGTCAAAATCTCAAAGTAACTAGCCTGATTTAATTTAAAAAATTTAAATATATATATATATATATTTTCTTCTTTCGGCTGCTCCCTATTTTAGGGGTCGTCACAGCGAACTAAGTCGCACGAAGACATTTGTCAGTTATTTTTTACGCCGGATGACCTTCCTGACTCAACCACAGCCCTCTGTGTGGAGCAGAGAGCTGCTATGTAGGACACCCAGAGGAGCAGATGGTGGGGGTTAAGGGCCTTGCTCAAGGGCCCAGAGTGGGACGAATGAGGGTGGGGGCAGGTGTGGGTGCTTCACCTACCCCACCCACACTTTTGATGATGTCGGTACTGGGGCTTGAACCGGTGATCTTCCGACCACAGGCCCACCTTCTCTAGCCCTGGAGACTGTCACCATCATCCCAGTCCCAAAAAGCTCTACAGTGACTGGTCTGAATGACTATCGGCCAGTGGCCCTCACCCCGATAGTCACTAAATGCTTTGAAAAACTGGTCATGACTCACATCAAAACAACCATCAACATCAACGAGGACCCTCATCAGTATGCATACCGTGAGAACCGATCAACAGAGGATGCCATCTCCTCTGTGGTCCACACTGCGCTCAACCACCTGGAGCAGAAAAACTCTTACGTCCGTATGCTCTTTGTGGACTTCACATCCGCCTTCAACACCATGATCCCCAAACCCTGATGGACAAACTATCCACACTAGGACTAAGCCCCTCTGGGTACTAGACTTCTTAACAAACAGAACGCAGTCAGTGAGGATCCATAACTTCTCCTCCTCCACCATAACCCTCAGCACTGGCTCTCCTCAGGGATGTGTGTTGAGCCCCCTCCTGTTTACTCTGCTCACATATGATTGTGCAGCTACCCATCCAGGCTGTCACATTGTAAAGTTTGCAGATGATACAGTGGTAGTGGGATGCATCACAAACAATGATGAGTCCAGCTACAGGCAAGAGGTGGAACACCTGGAGAGCTGGTGCAAAGAGAATAACCTTCACATCAATGTGAAGAAGACAAAGGACATGATTTTGTGGACTTCAGAAGGAACAAAAACATCTACACCCCCCTGAACATAAGAGGATCTGCGATGGAAGTGGTCTCCAACTACAAGTACTTGGGTGTACACATGAATGACAACCTCAGCTGGAGCAACAACACCACCAGCCTGATCAAGAAAGCTCATCAGAGACTCTACTTCCTCAGACGGCTGAGGCGAGCTGGTCTGGGAAGCTCAGTCCTCACCTCCTTCTACAGGTGTGCAGTGGAGAGCATCCTGTGCTCCAGCATCAACGTGTGGCATGGAGGCTGCACAGCTGCAGGAAGAAAAGCTTTGCAGAGAGTGGTGAAAGCTGCACAGAAATCTGTTGGAGTCAGTCTCCCCACCATCACAGACATCTACACCTCCAGATGCAGGAAGAGGGCCACCTGCATCATGAAGGACCCCACTCACCTAGCACACACACTTTTTGCCCCACTCCCCTCAGGAAGGAGGTTGAGGAGCATTAAGTGTAGAACCACTAGACTGAGGAACAGCTTCTACCCTGAGGCTGTTAGACTCATGAATATCTAACCAGGATAATCACTGTGAAAAACACATCATGTTGCTGCTGATCTGTTTCATGTTGCTGCTGATCTGTTTCATGTTGCTGCTGATCTGTTTCATGTTGCTGCTGATCTGTTTCATGTTGATGTGTTCATGTGTGCTCATCTGCTCACACAGATTCATGCTCATGTTTGTGCTGTTGTTTGATGTAATGTTTTTATGCTATTAGTGCTTAGTGTATTTTTAGTTTATGTTTTTCTTAGTTCCTATCTTAGATGTTATTGTTGTTTTTTTTACATTGTATTGTTGGATGTAACTGGGACCCTGTGTACAATCATCATGTCCTGGATGACTGAGAATCTTCACCAGCAGACCCTGTGTACATAATTTCACTCCACCACATGTACCACACGTGGTGCGAATGACAATAAAGAATTTCTGACTCTGACTCTTTATGTTCTTCAATTCAAAGCTTTTGCTTGCCATGCATTTTTTTTATTTTCACTGGGTATTAAGCTTAGTAGAACCTCAAATGTGAAAACAAACTGTTTCTGAACAACCAGGAGGTAAAAACATCAATTTTATTCAGAATTAAGAATAAAACAAAAAATCTATTCCCCTTGAATAAAGAAAACTGGTCTAAACTAATGTCCCAACATTAGGATGCAGGTTGTCATCATGAGGTTTATGCATATTTTTTAAATAAATGTAAATTTAGGAGAGAACATGCTTTAATAAGTTGAGTAGTGAAATGACTTTCTTAATAAATAATAATTAAAAAAAACTAAAGTTTGTGTGTCAGAAGGTGACTCCCTAACTGCTTAATTTCTGCATTTGTCAGATAACAAATATGACAACGTAACAAATCTGAATTTCAGTTCTACCTTTTAGTTTCGGTGCCACCCCGGGATTTTCAGAGACCCCCCACGTGGCCAGCACATGAAAACATTTCTGGAGGCGCCACAGGGTGGCGGTAACGCGCCGTTACACTGTTTACTGACCGCCAATGAACACCGGAAGAAGAAGCTGAACGAATACAGTTGGCTGTTCCACACCTGGTTTAATTCAATGAGGCTTAACAAGTTAAAATTGATGCTTGTTCGCAACTAAACTAAATACTTACACTATTCGATCAGAACATTTGGGCCTGAAAGGTAAGCATGTAATAATTCTTTCTAACGCTTTAGGCTATGCACAACCTGGGTTTTCGATTGAGTTGACTAGCATGCTACATGCTAGCTAGCCGAGGACATCATGTTAGCTAACTCTCGCACATAGCGCCAGTAAATAATTAGAGCATTCATGTTTTTATTTTGTTGCATGTTGTTTGTAAGGACAAAACGACTACATTGTATCTGAGTGTGAGGATGAACACAGGCTTCAGACAGTGTGGATTGTGTTTAAGCTAACTTGGCTACGATGCTGTTAGCGCCCTGCGTGCACAACAAGCGGCTGCTTTGGTACGGTCTATTTCCTGAACGAGTTCCCGGCGCTTGTCTGTTTGACTAAAAACACAGATGTAATACACCATGTGATACACTGTGCCAATGCTAATACATTATCTGTATCTGTTACTTGTGTTTCCGCTCGCAGGTTTAATTAAACGCTGGGGTCTGGTTAAAATTTCACAAGAGGTTTATGTTGATAAGAATAAGAGTTGGAAAATAACTTTATAATGTCACCAAGAGCGTGTTTGAAGGGTTAAAAAACTTTAGGAAAGTTAAAGCGGTTTTTAAAAAATGACGATTCACGTCCTGAATGTCCTTCTTATTTTTTTACATTGTGAAAAGTTTATATCTGTAACTAAAACAGATGTAATGTGTATTGTTTTTTGTTCTTCAGATATTGTTGCCATGAAACTGTTAGTTTGTGCTCTCTGGTTCAGTTTTTCACTGGTTAGTAGAATTGTGTTGCCTCATTATAAAATGTGTTACTGTATACTTTTTATTATTCATCACCCCTGTATTATTAGATTGTCATTACTATTCAACAATTTGATGACAGTGGGGAAAATATTACAGTTTGTCAAACATAAACTAAATCTCTGTTGTTTAAATATCCAGATGCATGCTCAATAATCCAGGTAGAAAAAACTTTAAAAAATAAAAAAGTCAGTTCCTCTGGACAGATTCTTCTTGTTAAAACGTTTTGCCTTTTATTCAGTAGACTTTGTCAGTCTGAGGAGCTGCAATAAACTCATTCTTATAAATGGCTCCTTCTCACATGCATCAACCAGATGTTCACATCCTGGACAGAGAGGAACGATGGTTTGAGAGAGGAGTAAAGGAGGCCATCTTTGTGAAAAGAACCCGTCCATCATTAAACTGGTGGAGGACTCTGTGTCCAACTGTCCCCCTCTTACAATGCTGTTATTGCTAGTATCACTCAGCCTTCTGTGAATAGTTAACAGCCATCAGGGCATTAACGATCAGTTGTTAGGCTGATGGTCCTCCTTGATCATGTGATCAGTAGGAATGTGCGATATGGCATAAAATTCATATCACGATATGTATTGTGAAGGGTGGCGATAACGATATATATCGCAATATGTTTTTGGTATAAAACTTGCTTTAAAAAAGCATAAGTTGTCCTTTTGCCATCAAATATTTTGAATTAAGAAAATTCCACTACTAGGTCCAGAGAGTTTTTAAATAATAAACAAATCAAGTATTAGGCTTCTTTCTTGTAGTGCAAAATATATCAAATGTAGTTTTAGCCATATATTTTAAACAGAAGAATATATTGTTAACTCTTAACAGTTTCCAGTCTTACTTAATAAATGAACAGCAACAGAGCATTTTACACTGAAACACTTCACCCTCCAACCCTCTAGTTGGCGCCTCCTGCTTTAATGGAGAGCTGATACAAAATGAGTCTGTGGCTTTGACCAGAGGGTCTCACAGTAAAATCACACAACACAGCGTTCTTTTCACACATCAGAGAGCAGGTTTCACTAAAGCTGACCAATGCTTACTTTAACTTTCGACGGAATACAGCATTTTGCGCATGCGTCCGAATCCGGCAACACTACGGCAAGCCGGACGTAGTTAGCTTGTAGCTTAGCTACTTAGCTCTCGAAGAAAAGACTAACGCAACTTGCGCACAGTTTTCAACTTAAAAAAAAGTAACGATTAAACTGACAACTCTGATTTTACATCAGACACAGCATTACTGCGGTTAGCCGGTAGAAGACAGATCTCTATCGTTTCTACCATATACCGTTTATATCGCGCATTCCTAGTGAGCAGCTGGTTCTGGATGTCACCATCAAACTGGTTGATCCACGATGAGAAGGTGATATTTAGGTTGTTTTCACACCAGATAGTCCGGTAGACTCGGTTCGGTTGGGGACCAATATTCATAACATTTTGTTTACATTTGAGCTGGTGAGTTTGCATTCACACTGCACTGTGCAGTCGAGTCAACCTGTTGAACCAACCTGTTCCCCCGTTCGCCTGTGGGGGCGCTGCACCAAGAACTACTGAAAGAAACAACACAAAAACCTCTGAAGACACGTCTTCTGGAAATAAAAACAAAAACGGAGTGGCATCAGGTTTTAGGAGTTATATTTTTTTCATTTTTCAACAATGGACTCGGCATGAGCAGAAGATGATGCAGAAGACCATGGAGAATATTGTTTTTCACACAAGGTAGCTGACGGCTCCATATAAGGTCAGAGAAATGCGCGTTTGTTTGTCCTGCGCTGTACTCCACTTCTTGCTTGTGGAGCGGGGCTCGGTCTGTTTACATTCACACTGTACTCGAACCGCGCTGGAGTTCTCTTCTACCGGACCGAGACCTAGGTTTTAATTCTGTTCTATTAAATAATGATCCACATTTTTTTAATGTAAAGATGTAAACTAATGAATGCTTTTAGATTTAATCCCAACTACGCATCTGTTCACAGCTGCTCTATTGATCCAGTCTCTGTGCGTATTTGTGAATCAGTATGAATTTAAGCCCATCCCATGTTCACAGTGTTGTTTTACTTTCTTGACATTTACAAATGTTCTGTCTTATATGCTTTTGAATAAATAATCTAGAAAATTTTTAATAAAAGCCTTCCAGACACTCCAAGACTCTGTTCTAGGACCCCTCCTATTTATAATTAACATCCTTCTCCTTGGCTTCATTTTCTATACAAATAACATTCAATTTCATTGTTATGCAGATGACACTTAGCTCTACCTCTGTACTAAACCAAATTCTTCTATTCCTCACCTCCCTCTCTCAGCATTAGACCACGGTGTTGTCATTGTGCATTTTAAAATGGGTCCAGCCGCTGCTTCGAGGTTGAGTAATTGCAAATGGCGGATCGGGATGTTTTAAAAGTTTCTCAAAGAATCCAGTGACTCCGCCCCCTGACCAATCAGTGACTGACAGTGTTCTGACATTACGTTTTGGTGCCGGCTCGGCTCGCTTGGTACCCCATCGAAGAAGGGACTACAAAAGGGGTCGGTTCCACGAAAAATTGATAGTGGATCTTCCAAGAGAAACAACTTTAAGCTACTCCATAAAGTTCAAACTCTGAGCACTCTGGGAACCCCCCCCCCCCCCCCAATAATCATCACTAGAACCCCCTTCATTCGCCACATAACACCAGCCCTACAGCAACTTCATTGACTCCCATCAAACCCTTCATCTTCTACAAGATCCCGCGTCTTTCATTTAAGGCCTTTAACAACTTGCTCCTCAGTATCTTCTTCAGTTTACATTCCCCCCATAATCTCTAATCATTTTCCTCCTCCCAACTTGCCTCCACCTGCTCACCTGACCACCGAGGGGTCAGGAGGAGCCTTCATTTGCCGGGCCCCCATTGGATCTCTCTGCCCCCAAACTCTGTTTCTATTAAAACATTTATACCTCAGCTTTAACTAATCAGTTTATAGAAGCATACTTATGATTATCATAAATCATTTTAATTGACTTATCTGTCATGACTTGTTTGCTATTTGTTTTTCTTTGCAGTATTCTGTTAATTGACTTTGTTGTGGGTTTTTTTGTTTTTGTTTTTTATCTATTTTTATTTTTGTAAGGTGACCTTAAGAGTATTGAAAGATGCTTATACTGTAATTTCTGGACTATTGAGTAAATTAAAATTTTACATAAATAGGCCGCACTTGTCTATAAGCCGCAGGTGTTCACGTTGTAACATGAGTAGGGGTGCACCGATAAATCGGCCCCGATTTCCTTAATTTTTGGAAATCAGCTGATGCATGAGAAACCAATTTTACAGATTTTTAGTTGTTGTTTGTTTTAATAACAATTGTCTAAAGTTAATTTATAACTCAGAGCACTACCTCATGGCCAGTTAAAACAAGTTTGTATTGTTTCTAGGATATTGTTCAGGGGTATGTTTTTCAATAAAATAATATTGGAAAATTGAAGGTACATTGTGACCTTATAACACCTGACAGTGTCGCTTATAAAACAAAATCAAAATCGTCAGGTCAGACTTTTTAGAAATTGATGATCGACCAGAAAACTGCAATCAGTTCACCCTAAACATGAGATATTCACACAGAAAGATTTTTTTAAACTTTTAAATACGGTAACATGCACAAATACAGTAAAAAAAAATTTTTTGTTGTTTCTGAACGGTGCATGTAACACGGCTGATTAAAAAATAATATATAGTAGTCTACCAGGAAGTCATTGATCGCTACCTCCAAGAGAGACGTGTATTGGGCAGCTATGTGAGTCACTGGGTGTGACGAAGCTAAATGTTTTGGTGGCATGAAGCTCGTTAGCCCATCAAATAAAAAAAAAAAATCCATAAATTAGCCGCAGCATTGTATAAGCCGTGGTGTTCAAAGCGTGTGAAAAAGTAGCGGCTTATAGTCCAGAAATTACGGTAAATAAAATGTATTGTTGTTTATTTATTACTAAAAAGGTAACAAATGGTTAAAGACTAAATATGATTTTGCCAGTATGTCACATATTCTAATTATTATGCTATATCAATTGTTTAGAAATTAACTTCTTTTTTTTTATTCATAGACCAGGATTCAGTGGCTTCAAATATGAATAAATCCAAGTAGTTGTCGATTGTTTTAAATCTTGGAGCCCAAAAAATATATATATTTAAATAGTTGAGCTGGTAATAAATACACACTAACATTTTGAGCCATATTTAGCCCAAACTTGTTAGTTTTTTTTTTTGTTTTTTTTTTTTAAATGAAGTTATTTAAAAATGTATTATTAATCATGTTTGAGAGCTCTCTGAACAAAATCAAAAATATATTTGCTTGATAATTCCTTCTTTTTGACATTTTGCAAAGATAAATCAATCTAAAGTGCTATGTTTTTGATTAGAAAGGACTTCAGCTTTGTCTTGGAGGGAGAATGTTGAGTAAAAAAATCATGTTTTCAATGTGGTTTATAGTGTGTTTTATTTTGGTCGACCGTTTTAAAGAAATGGTTTAATAACTTTAAACACATTTGCAAACTGACCAGTGTCAAACAGATTTGTTCTGCTTGGTGAGCACACCATAATAACCAGTCAGCGACACTGTGGTGAAGAATTTTAAATATTGAACATCAGCAGTAAACAGATAATAAATGTACAAAAAAATCAGATTGCTGAGCTGTATGGTTTCAGCCTCACTGTGCTTGTGTTTGTAGGTGACGAGCTGGCGCAAGTTGTGGGTTGTCCGTGGACAATGAGAGACAGTGGTGGGAGCCTGGCCCAGAATCGCTGGCAGGGAGACCTGGGCTTGACTGCTGTGGGGGAGAACAGCACTGGAGGAGGTGGGAACAGGAATGGTGGTTAGTGTTGACATGCTCGTCTCATTAGAGACATATTTAGTTTGTGTGTCCAGATTCCTCTGTTTTTTCTGATTTTAATCTTGAAATCTCAACTTTCTCAATTTTTAAAATGCACCTGGAGGAGAGAGGCTTGAAGGAGGAGCTGTATATGAAGTTACACCAATAAGTCTTTGTGGATGTCTCCTTTTGGAATCTGCAACATCTGAAAGAGGTGTTCATCTGTGATATCGCAGTGTAAACTAAAAATAAAACACCTGCCCTTTTTTATCTTGGACGGCTTGACAAAGGAAAGGGAAGCGCTTTTCATTAAACACTTTCTTAGTGGGCATGAAATGTTTTCTTACTCATTTATATACATATGTACACAATCCAAAGAAAATATACAAGCAACTAGGGCTACAATGGGGCACACATTACCCCATTATGACAATATAATATATTTAATGTAATACCGGATCATTTTCCTCAATATACAGTGAGGAAAATAAGTATTTGAACACTCTGCAACTTTGCAAGTTCTCCCACTTGGAAATCATGGAGGGGTCTGAAATTTTCATCTTAGGTGCATGTCCACTGTGAGAGACACGATCTAAAAAAAATTCCAGGAATCGGAATGTATGATTTTTTTAATAATTTATTTGTGTGTTACTGCTGCAAATAAGTATTTGAACACCTGCCAATCAGCAACAGTTCTGGCCCTCAAAGACCTGTTAGTCCTCCTCTAAAAAGTCCACCTCCACTTATTATTCTACATTAGAAGCACCTGTTTGAGGTCGTTAGCTGCATAAAGACACCTGTCCACCCACACACTCAGTAAGACTCCCAACTACTAACATGGCTAAGACCAAAGATCTGTCCAAAGCCACCAGAGACAAAATTGTAGACCTTCACAAGGCTGGAAAGGGCTACGGGGCAATTGCTAAGCAGCTTGGTGAAAAAAGATCAACTGTTGGAGCAACTATTAGAAAATGGAAGAATCTAAACATGACTATCAATCTCCCTCGGACTGGGGCTCCATGCAAGATCTCACCTCGTGGCGTATCAATGATCCTAAGAAAGGTGAGGAATCAGCCCAGAACTACACGGGAGGAGCTGGTCCATGACCTGAAGAGAGCTGGCACCACCGTTTCCATGGTTACTGTGGGTAATACACTAAGACGTCATAGTTTAAAATCATACATGGCACAGAAGGTTCCCCTGCTTAGGGAAGGAGTTTGTTCCCCAGTATCTCACAATACATGGCCCCGGTCATCCTCTCCTTAATACAGTGCAGCCGTCCTGTCCCATGTGCAGAAAAACACCCCCAAAGCATGATGCTTCCACCCCCATGCTTCACAGTAGGGATGGTGTTTTTGGGATGGTACTCTTCATTTTTCGTCCTCCAAACACGGCGAGTGGAATTAAGACCAAAAAGTTCTATTCTGGTCTCATCTGACCTCATAACTTTCTCCCATGACTCCTCTGGATCATCCAAATGGTCATGGGCAAACTTAAGCTGGGCCTGGACCTGGACGTGTGCTGATTTAAGTTAGAGCATTGACGATAGGTCGTGGCTGGGTCTTCCAACATGACAGTGACCCGAAGCACACAGCCAGGAGAACCAAGGAGTGGCTCCGTAAGAAGCATATCAAGGTTCTGGAGTGGCCTAGCCAGTCTCTAGACCTAAACCCTATAGAAACTCTTTGGAGGGAGCTCAAACTCTGTTTCTCAGTGACAGCCCAGAAACCTGGCTGATCTAGAGAAGATCTTTGTGGAGGAATGGCCCAAAATCTCTGCTGCAGTGAACCTGGTGAAACACTACAGGAAACATTTGACCTCTGTAACTGCAAACAAAGATACTGTACCAAATATTAACATTGATTTTCACAGGGTGTTCAAATACTTATTTTCTTCACTGTAAATGGTAAATGGACTGTACTTGTATAGCACTTTCTGTCTTATTGAGATACTCAAAGCGCTTTACACTACAATCTGTGCCTCATTTACCCATTCATACAGCACTTTACTAGATCTCTACAAAGCTAATTGAACAAATCATTCTAAAGAGACTAATCAGTGTTTTATCACATTCATACACTGACGGGACACACATCAGAGGCTATGAGGAGTCCTTGCCTTGCCCAGGGACACTTTGGCATGTGACTGCCGATTGTGTCATTAATAGCTGGTGAAGATTCTCAGTCATCCAGGACATGGTAAATTCAAAAAAGTTCAAGAAAAAAAAGTATAATAACCAAAGTCCAGTTGGTTGTTTTTGTGTTGAACTTTTTTAATTTATCATTATAGCCACGTGGGCAGCACGGTGGCACAACTGGTAGAGCTGCTGCCTCTCAGCGAGCAGGTCCCTGGTTCAAACCCCGGTCCAGGGGCCTTTCTGGGTGGAGTTTGCATGTTCTCTCCGTGCATGCGTGGGTTTTCTCCGGGTACTCCGGTTTCCTCCCACAGACCAAAAACATGCATGTTAGGCTGATTGGTAACTCTAAATTGTCCCTAGGTGTGAGTGAGAGAGTGAATGGTTGTTTGTCTCGTTTGTCTCTCTGTGTCCCTGCGATGGACTTGCGACCTGTCCAGGGTGTACCCCGCCCCTCGCACAGTGATTGCTGGACATGGGCACCGGCGACCCCCGTGACCCAAAATGGAACAAGCGGGTAAAGATAATGGATGGATGGATTATAGCCACGTTTTCCTATTACATGATACAACAGCATGCTATATAATTGTTACAACTCTGCTGCCACCAAGTGGCTGAAAGTGGTACTGCCCCCCCTTTTTTTTTTGTTGTCAGAATGAATTAAAACGGTCATATCTCAGACAAATTGGTTTATAAATATTGGGGGAAATCCATAAATATGTTGCTTCAGCATGTAAGTCGCAGGGCATGTAGGTTATGCAAAAAACTGCGACTTATACCAAGAAAATTATGGTAGTTTGCATCTCAAAATTAAAAACCATTAAATGCAAACTTTTCTTTGCTATTCCACCAGTTTCTGAGTGTTTGCAAACCAAACAATAAGCAAACCATGTGCTCGCCCTTCGCATGACCAGTTTTTCCAAATCACAGCTTATTTTATGCACACAGATTCAAAAACTGCCTTCTAGGTTGTGCACTTTTTTTTCCTTTTTTTGGTCCTCTTCAGCCCACATAACGTTGGTTTCTGCCCTATTTGTGTGATTAAAGCTGCGGTAGTACAGGTTAGAAATAAAGACAGGCAAATTTTGACCAGATTTTCATCAATTATCATCATAATTTTTAGACCTGGATATTGATGTCAGAGGAGAGCTCTTGCACAGTTGTCAAAATACAGCTTTGTTACTCTTGCAACTAATTGGAGATGCTGAAACACAACTCAGGTGTGTTTTAAACGGAAAATTGAGAATCACTGCAAACATTTCAAGACCTTCTGGAGACACTCTTGTGAATGCTGTTCACCAGCTAGTCAGTGAGATGTAACCTTAATCCTTCACACAGGCATTATATCTCCTGTCCTTCATCCCACATACAGAGAATATATTCCACATTTTGACCATCTGTTCATAAAAAGTAATTTCTGAAAGTCTGGATACATTCTGATGTTTGTCAAATAATCAGTGGCTGTGAAGAAAACAAGACGAGTGCAGTTTAACATGAATCAAGTTGTATAAATGTGATCAGTGGTTAATTTGAGCCGGATCCTGCCGGAACAAGATCCGGGAACTCTCATTTTAACTCGTTCTGTTCCGGCAACTCTGTTCAGATCCAGCAGCTCCGCCCCTAAAAGTTCAAAGTCATTGCGCATTTTTATTTTGATTATTTATTCAAAAATACAAGAGAGGAGACGTTGCCCTTAACCCGGTGGACCCAGTCTGTGGAGTGGATGTTTCAGCCACAGCATGTGTGGCGAACCAGCTACACGCTCCTTCGAGGAGCAGGAGAGGGGGTGAGGACGGAGGGACAGATGGTTTTACGCACAGAGGTTCTGCGCAAAGTCCTTCTCTCCTCCTCCTCTCCAAATATTGTCCCTTGTCAGTCGGGCTGCAGACTGAAAAACACCCCCTCTCCTCTCAAACCCCGAAACAGAAACGATCATTTATTCAACAGAATAAATAAATTCCCTGTGGACGGTGCACGTTACGCACAGAAATGTCTCCCATCTCTACCCAGCATGCACACATCAGCAGGTGTATGAACTCCTGCTACATTTAATAAATAAAAAAGCTTACTGTAAAAAATAAATTAAAAATACAAAGATAGAAATGTTTGATGTGTTATTCACATTATGTCATGTTTCAAAACAACAGCGCTAATTGGTCCAAATAACAACAGTGACCAAAATGTCAGAGACAGTCCCGTTTACTTTAATAAAAGATGGATGGATGAATGGATGTCCTTAGTTGGACAGAGAACTGAATCCTTCAGGTGCTTCAAACGGTGCCATGAGACTGGAGCAGGAGCAGAGAAGAGTTCAGCTCAGAACCGTGAAGTGAGGGAAGGGAGGAGGGGGTTTAGGACACCTGACAGAATCGGTGCTGCACAACCAACCTGCTGTTCCTCTCCAAAATAATAATTTTATTAAGTGTTTACAAATGTAAGTAAATGTTGATGTAGGCTATAACAACCTGTTAAAATACACCAAAATGCAGAAAATGGCATCTCTGTTATTCAACATTTTTGGTGAGAGGACCCATGCACCCCACCCCCCGCCTGCCCGCTGTTCCAGCATCAATCATTTTACAAATTAAGCCCTGAATGTGATCTTTGTGCTCCCAGGCTGAATGTCATTGTTGCTGTTAAAACCAAAATAGAATTGATTCCAGCTTCATTTTTGTAAGCACGCATTGGACACTCGATAAACTTCAATAGTAAAAAAAAATATCCTGGCATTAACGGAGCCACACAAAGACGGGAGATTTTTTTAAACCAGTTTACTTGCAAGGGCAGAGTTCACACAGGCTTACACAGATGTTACCTTGAAGCCCCGCTCATGAAGATCTGCACCGGACAGTGTACCAGGATTGTTTTTTTTATAATGCACACTTATCAGCTCCTCCTCCAGACTCGGAGCGACCTTGGAGTACCAGCTGCACATGCAGGATCAATGCAGCTCCTCATTCAGCTCTAACTCTAACACAGTGTGTGGGCAGTTATTACTTAGTGACAAACATCCTTGACTTTGACCAAATTTCCCCTGACAATAAGTGAAAGTCACGCGGTGCAATGCAACAAATCCAAACGTGAACCACTGATTTATGGATGCTGTTTGTTTTCTTAAGTAAACACCTGTTCAGTAAAATGAACCATTGTTCATTTGAATTTACCTGATGGACTAATTGCCCAGTTTTGTGTTTAGGTGGAATTCCTGGAGACCACCTCATCGTTCCAGTGTCAGACCACGGAGTATCCAGCCCCATGCACCTCAGGCTTGGGCAGAAGGAAAAGCTGTGGACAGGCGAATACATAGAAGAGGAAGAGGAGGAGGATGGGACAGGTGGGATTGCACCAATTGGTGATGAAGAAGAGGTAAACAATTTGTATTCTGGTGATCTGGGAGATTTTGAAAGCAAAGGCTGGGAAAACAACGGAGAGGATGAAGAGGGGGAGATCGAAGAGGACCAAGAGAAATTGGAGTGGGAGGAGCCAGAGTTTTTCTCCCAGTCCACTGAACACCATGAGTCACAACAGGACCAACTTCATGGACCACAACAGACGGCAGAAACAGTTGGTGAGGCCTCTATCAAAAATATTGTTTACCAGGCTGAAGGAAGGAACTTGTTCCAGTCCTACTTCAGCAGATACAGAGGTCTGAGAAGGCTCAGACGCTTGAGGCGCCTACGATCCCACAGTCTTCCTGGGTTTCAACTCGCCCAACACTGGAAGAGCTGGCGCCAGAAGGCTCGATGGATGCTCCCAGTGGGGCATCATTGGAAACGAAGAGGGCAGAAGTACAAACTGTATGGCAAGCAAAGAAAGACAAAAGTGTTTTTGTCGTCATTTTACGATGATGAAGATGATGACAGCTACGAGGAGCATTTCAAAGGAGCTTCCAGAGGTACAGCTGTGCAGACATACCCTCTAACTTTCCTACACTTTGTCTTTCACCACTAGGTTTCTACATTTGTTAAAAATGTTGTCAACTTTTGTTCAAACAACTTGTCTTGTGTCGTTTGAACAAAAGCAGGATCTTGAGTTGCACTTTATGCTGCACAAGTTCTTGTACACGTGCATCTTAAAAAACTGGAATATCGTGAAAACGTTCTATTATTTTTGTAAGTGAAACTCGAATACAGATTCATGACACAGAGTGAAACATTTCAAGCCTTTTATTTCTTGTAATTTTGATGATTATGGCTTGCAGACAATGAAAAATCAAAACTCTGCCTCTGAAAATGAGAATATTGTGGAGAGCTTCAATATTGTAAACTCCTGGTGTCTCACTCTAATCAGCTGATTAACTCCAGACATGAGCTACAAATGTCTCATTCCTCGAGTCCAGCCACTCCTGAACCAGAGACGTCAGAAGCGTCTTACCTGCTGAGGAGACAAAGAACTGGACTGTTGCTCATTGGTCCAATGTCTTAGGTACATTGAAAAACCACGAAAGAGAGAGTCCTCGAAAGTCGAACCAAGTAGCGAGGGACTACTGTATTCTCATTTTCTGAGACTGAATTTTGTTTTTTTCATCATTTGTAAGTCATAATAATCAAAATTACAAGAAATAAAGGCTTCAGATGTTTCACACTATGTGCAATGAATCTATCAACCAGTTTCACTTTCTGAAGTGACAGACAAAAAAATTGAACTTTTTCTTGATATTGTAATTTTTTTTAGATGCACCTGTTTGTAATGTCAACCAGTCATTAACAGTGAACGGATTTAAAAACTACAATTCCTCAGATTCTGTAGTGCAGACACAAAAAGAAAAGGGAAGAGGATTGACACAAACAGTTTAAAACACACCAAAGACGTCAGAGATGTGTAGATTTGAGCATGGTGCTCAGACACCATGATATGATTCGTTGGGGAAACGGAGCCCTTTCTTTTTGTCCCTCATCGCAGAGTGAAGAGGGGTATTGGAGTTAAATGATAACTTGGAAAAATATAAGTGAGGTACCGACTTCCATGTTGGTGTGTGGCTGCAGTTAGACCCAAGAAATATTCCTTTGGAAAATTAGGTTGTCATGTCAAAATCCAAGATGACCAATTGACATGTTTCTTTAAACCAGCCACCCCAATCATTTGTAGAAACTGTTGTCTAGTTTTTATGATGCTTAAATGGCAACATAAAAACTTAAATGGTGGCCAGCGGTGGCCAAGGCCCGCCTCGCTCCTCCATTGTACCTGGTCGTGAATTAAATGACTCCCTCCACTAACCAGGATCCGTCACTCTGCACTGCCTTGGACAAGAAAAATAAAAACTCCCTCTGTTCTTCTCCACAGTGTAACTCATACCCACTTGAATATCTTGCACCAAAACATTAAGGTTTTCTTGCATTCCCAGTACAGAGAAACATTCGTCTTGAAAACCACAAACATTCACTTCCAATCCCTCAGCAGCGGAGGACATCAGTGTGCCACTAGTTTCTACATTTCTATGTCTCATGAAGTGTATCAGATCTGTTACTAACTTTCAGTTTCTGTTTGTTAGATAAGCAGAATGGCCCTTTTTCAGACAAGCACGACGAAAGAGGAAGACAAGACGTGGCTTTCAAACCAGTGGAAGCGGCCCTTAGTGAGGAGCATACAAGTTGTGTGACTGGTATGGACCAGCTCAGAGATGTTTGTTCGTGCTCATCGTCCATCAAACACATTTCAATGACCGTCCGGTTTTTAATCACAGACCAACTCATCCATCCACCTACATACACATCCACCAGAGATGCACCTCTGCTTGTGACTGGCACTGGCCAATATTTAGCCTTAGTACCCTTTTGAGTGGCTGATCACCAGTTTGATATTTTTCTGGTCATTACACACATGGCAGACAAATCTCTGCCTCCTGCAGCACTGCTTGGTGCCGCTTTCTAGGGAAAAATTTTACTGATTTGAAAAAACAGGAAGTTCGCTGTGTGGACTCTAGGGTTTTCATAAATAAAATCAGAGGAAGAAAAGAAAGAGTTGGAGACGGTAGAAGAGTATTATCTGCTTTTCACTGTGCAGCTGGTGGTCAGTTTGAGCTGAAGCTCAGCAGACGAAGGCAGATTACAGCTCTGATTAGGCCTGTCACGATAACAAATTTGGCTAGGCGATAAATTGTCTCAGAAATTATTGTGATAAACGATAATATTGTTTGAAATTTGACAATAAGAAAAAAAATTAATTTGTTTTGTGTGTAGTACCTTTTTTTGACCACCGGATGGCAGTATAAGACTGTTTGAACCTAAAGGATGGATAGTGAGGGAGCGAGCAGCGTCAAGAAAAATAGGAGGGAGGCCCCTTGACGTGACATGGGCTGTCTTTCTTTGGTTCTCAAAATGGAGGAGTGTGGTTCAGCTCTTTAGCATAGCATTTTTCACACAAAGCTTTTAATAAAAAAAAAATCAGTAAACAAATTCTCAGATTTTTTTGCAGAGAAAAACAACTTTTTACACAAAGGCACGGGTTTCAACTGTGAATTTTGGAGCTTCGACAAGACAGAGGTTTTTTTCCTGAGGTCTGTCTGTTAGCTTAGCTTGTAGCTTAGTTTCTCAGCTTAGCTGCTTTTAATGATCCAAAAACACGATTTTGGACGATTAAAATGGATTTTAAGGAGAAAGGGTGGGGGCAGTGAAGAGCATCAGAGTTGAGTTTTTTTGTCATCCAGTGTCTTCAGTAGAAAGAGAGAGACACGAAGAAACGATAAAGCCGATGAATGAAAATGAGGATGATAATTTTCATTAATCATGTGATTAATTGATTTATTGTTTATCGTGACAAGTCTATATTAACGTTGTTTAGCAGCGGTGGGAAAACTTTCTTTCATTCTTTCATGCCATTGTGCTTGCTCAGGATGGGAGACTGCAACAAAGCCAAGATTCAACTTGTCTGCTGCTGGATTCCTTAGATAAAGAACTTTACTAATTGGCTTTTATGTATGTGAATGTTCCTGTAAAGTGCCCTGAGACAACTTTGTTGTGATTTGGCGCTATATAGATAAACTGAATTGAATTGAATTGAATTCTGTCCCTCAGCTGTTCTTTAATATTAAACTCAGAGACTAAACTGGAGCAATTTTCCATTAAAACCTCAATTTTAACGATACATGTGCTGAGGGCAGCACAGGCTTTTGTGTAAAACATTATTGAGTTTTTATAAATTTGTGCTGCTCTGACAACAGCAACCACACACGTACTGTCTGCTTAATGTCATAAGACAGGAAGTCCAACCTCATTATTTTAATTTTTTATGCTCCGCTACATTTTTAGAATCGTCATCAACTCACGTTCTGTGACATTCCTCTTTTTCACGCATGTAGACATGAGGTGGAGGTGTGTCAGAGGATGTGTCTCTTGGTTCTACAATGGCCTGGATTCATGCACAATTGCATATGGATTTTTTTTGGTGCTTACATCATTGATTTTGGCTATGCCAAGTTTCAGTAGAAATTCCATACATGTTTTTGTACATGGAGCCACAGCTCAGTGCAACCCTGATTTTTAAAAATATTCTGTTAGTTATAGTTCTTTGTGTGAAGTCTGTGTATTGGAACAAAACTGTATCGACTGGTCAGAGCTGTGCAAATATAGACAATCAGTACTGGTCCACAAAACCAGAATCTGTGCATCTTTTAACATTCATCCATTTGTCTTCCACTCATCCATTCATCCATCCACACTCATTTATCCATCTTTTTGTCCATTTATTTGTTTATCTGTCCTTCCATTCCCCCATCTATCCAGCTACCCTCCCACTCTTTCATCCATCCTGTTATTGGTTTAAATTAGCAAGCAAAGCTATCCAAAGCAAAGACTTAAACCTCCAGCATACTCACGCGTACGTCAGTCCGTGGAGATCTGCGCGTGCCGGATTAGACTCAAAGCGGATGTCCACAGGACGTGTTCATGCAAAGCTCAATTTTTACGTACGTGTACTCTGTGTCGCACAATAAACTGCCCGGCGACAGACTTTTATATGCAACACTGATGTATTAAATTTCTCTTCTTCATCCCTGGTCTGGTTTAATGGCCTTTTCTTGTTTGTTTGTTTTTGCCAAGAGGCAAGTGATCGCTTCCTCCTTCTCTGTTGACGCCATGACTGAAATTGTTAAAAATGAAGGAATTTGTCACGAGAGAATTAAAATCAGGTCCAGCATGGCTGCAGGAACGTGGAGATTTCCTGGTGGGCCTGTCTGATGTGTGGGCTGCAGGGCCAGCGCTCCCGTTTTTTTTTTTTTTTTTTTAGAACTTTTTATTAACAACATATAAACACAGAATGCGGTTGGTGCTGCCAGCTCTCTTTTTTTTTTGCGACCTGTCAATCAATCGAGTAGGCGTGTCAGCAAATGACCAATCGACAACTCCAATTTGTCCCAAAGGTAAACGCCCCTTGTCTGCGGAGCAGGCTGCAGCCGCTCAAGGTGGACGCTTGAGTATGAAGTCTCAACTCTGTGGACAGTGCATGCAGTTTCTGCGTGGCTGACAGGACGCATGAGTACTGGAGCCTTTACACAACAGAGAGCATTCCATCTTTTTCTATTTGAGACTCATGTCAGACTTACAAGAGCTGACTCTCATGCCACCTAATACACACTTTTAAAGATAGCTTGGTCAAGCGAGTAGGGTGGTTGTCCTCCGACCAAAGGAGCCGGGGGTTTGATCCTCGGCCCCTGCAGCATGCTTTGGCACTTTTCCACAGTCTCAACTCCGATTGGTTAATGAGAGTATTTTGAAGATAATTGTTTTGTTTCCTGCTACCTTTACAGGTATTCTTGAAGAGTCTCTACAACAGTACGGCAGTTTGATCCCCATCCACGTTGATGACATTGTAGAGAAGCTGCAGGAGATGTTCAACGAGAAATTTTCATATCCACACAGGTCAGATGTGTGTGTGTATGTGTTGTTTGTTCTTTTGTTTGTTTGTAGGGTTGTGGTGGTTGAATGAATATTTTGACCATTAGGGATTAGTTATTTTGAAAGACAAATATTTCCAATTAATTTAGCACCTGATATTTTCCTTTTTTGAGAGTTTGACCTGTAAATGAATTCAAATCTACATCTGGACACACTGTAATACAGTTGGATGATTTAAGGTTCAGGCAGTACATCTTCATCACGTGGAACTAATAATCACAAAGTGGCAAATATATACTTAAAAATATAAAACAGTATTTCTGACCTCCAACATTTTTCAGTCAGGTCATCTGGACAAATTTTTTTTTTTGTGCTGAAACGTTTCACCATCGATCCGGAAGGCTTCATCAGTCAAGGAAACATAACAAAACTGAGTCTTCCTCCAACAGCTTACTCCAAAGTGGAACAAACCAGTTCTGCTTGTTATAAGATGGTCTCTTTGGTATGCCCCCTCCTCCATTGCCGGCCCTCTTCCTTGTTGACAGTCGTGTTAAACTGGTTGAAAACAACAAAGTCCATGCTCAATAATCCAGGTATACAATCCCAACATTTTTCAGTCAGGTCATCTGAACAGGTTTTTTTTTTTTTTTTGTGAAACTGAAACGTTTCGGCTTCGGTCCGGAAGGCTACTCGCAGTGAGTATTTCTGACGGTCACACGATACAATTTTGCACAAACTTAATGACCTAAACCTCCTTTTCGATCACAGGTGGATTACTGCTAGTTTGGAAAAGCTTATTCAATGTGAATGTAATCGTGGCACCTCTGTTCTTGTAGGACTCCCCAAACACTGTGCTGTGAAAACGTCTTCACCGTCTAACACACTCCTTCTGTTTTGGCTTTCTTTTTGTCTCACTGAAGTGTTTCAGATCAGAAGACAAATATAACCTGAGTAAATACAAAATGCTGTTTTTAAATAAGTTCATTTATTAGGAGGAAAAAAGTTATCTAAGCCACCCCATCTTTAGGTAAAAAATTAATTTCCAAGTAACTCATGGTTAAAAAAATTAATAAATCTTGTTTCGGCTGCGCCCTTCTTCAGGGACTTGGCAATTGTTTTTATGAAGGAAACCCTTCTTCCTGGCTCAACCACAGACCACCTGACAGAGACGCATCCTGAGACGTGCGCTGTTTGTAATGACAGTTTTCAAGTGTGTGTGTGTGTTTGTGTGTGTGTGTGGGGGGGGGGGGGGGCAGTGTGAGGTTTAGCATGAGGGAAGGGATATAATAGAGATATATATTGTATAATGGTAGGGGAAACACTGCGTTTTCCACAAATGGAGAAAACCTGGAATGGTGGTGAACCTTTCCAGGAGCAGCTGGATGATCTAAATCAGGGGTGTCCAGCCTTTTTTCCACCACAGACTGGTTTTAAGCAAGATAGTTTTTCCACAGACCAGTGGCAGGGGTGCGAGTTTGAGGGGAGGTCACATGCGTGACAAAACGCAATAAATTTAATTCATTCAACCTTTTATTTATACAGGTTAGTCTCATGATGACTAATTTACAAGAGAGACCTGTAAATAAAGTGTATCATATATAATTTAATTAGTACCTCTATAATTTCACTCTACAGAGACCCCCGCGATAGGTGAGAGTTTGGGAAGTAGCGGTGTTATATTTGTTTTATTATTTATATGTATTGTAAGGCTTTAGAAACCCCTCCTACAAACCTTCCCACTATTTTCGCGGCCTGGTACCAAATGATCCAATGCCTGATACTGGTCTATGGCCCAGTGTTTGGGGACCCCTGATCTAAATGACTCCCAAGAGCTCAGTGACGTCACAAACAGGAAGTCCCAAAAGAACCCAGATCATCTGAAGTCCTGCAGGCCTCACTGCCTCAGTTCAGGATCTACCAATAAAAAATGGACAGAAATGGTCTCTGGGGAGAGTTCAAAAACCAAAACCAGCTGATAGATGACTTTAAGCAAGAACATCACAAAGGCCTGTCTCACATTTACCAAAAATAAAACATGTTGATGATCCCCAGAAATTCTGGGAAAATATTCTGTGGACCGATGAGACAAAAGAGGAACTTTCGTGAAGGTGTGTTTGGTTATATTAAGAATAAAACTGAAACTGCATTTCAGGGAGAGAGAAAACATTTCCACAGTTGAACGGGCTGGTACTCGTTTCAGTCCAGCAAAAGTCGTTTCCCATGTTTTTTTTTAATTTAATTATTTATTTTTATTATTTTCTCATAAAGCTTTTATATTTTGATTATACATTGAGGAGTCTGTACTGTCAGAGCATAGATGGGTTGTTGTGAAATGCTTCAGGGGAGCACATGGTTAAATATGTAAACACCAGAACACTAATCTACTTATTTTGTTCTTAATCAGGAAAACCATGGTCCAACATCTCATCCAGTCTTTCCAGCGTTCATCAGGATCGGCCGTAGCCAAAACCTTCAGAGTCAACTACAAGCGCCATGTTTTGACCATGGATGACCTGGGCACTTTGTATGGACAGAACTGGCTTAATGACCAGGTACATCAATACAAACTTTAAACAATATGCAAAAACACTTAAAAAAAATCTAAAATACGGATTTATTTGAAATGGAAACCTATATTAGAAACATTAATTACACCCACTGATTAAAAAAGGGATAATTGGATAATTTTCATTCTAAGTTCAGCAAACATACATTCATGTAGTAACACGAGTGTTCAGTTGAGAAAATGGTGACAAACTGTCATGAAAAAAGTATTGAAGTTTAATATTGACTAATGTAATGTTCTTTCACTTTGATATGACATTTGTGGGAGAGTAGTTTTAAGCCTGGCAGTAGAAAATTGGAACCTTTAGGCATTAGCCGAACCTCGGCAGAGAGTTCTGCCCTTTTCTCCACACTTCATGCTTTATGGCTGATGATTACTAACTGTATATTGATACAGTGCCTTGCAAAAGTATTTGGCTCCCTTGAACTTTTCAACCTTTTGCCACATTTCAGGCTTCAAACATAAAGATATAAAATGTACATTTTTTGTGAAGAATCAACAACAAGTGGGACACGATCGTGAAGTGGAATGAAATTTATTGGATGTGTCAAACTTTTTTAACAAATAAAAACTGAAAAGTGGGGCATGCAATATTATTCGGCCCCTTGCGTTAATACTTTTTAGTGCTACCTTTTGCTGCAATTACAGCTGCAAGTCTCTTGGGGTATGTCTCTGTCAGTTTTGCACATGGAGACACTGAAATTCTTGCCCATTCTTCTTTGCAACAGCAGTCTTCAGCTCTTTCCACAGATTCTCGATTGGATTCAGGTCTGGACTTTGACTTGGCCATTCCAACACCTGGATACGTTTATTTGTGAACCATTCCACTGTAGATTTAGCTTCATGTTTTGGATCATTGTCTTGTTGGAAGATAAATCTCCGTCCCAGTCTCAGGTCTCTTGCAGACTCAAACAGGTTTTCTTCCAGAATGGTCCTGTATTTGGCCCCATCCATCTTCCCATCAATTCTGTCCATCTTCCCTGTCCCTGCTGACGAAAAGCAGGCCCAAACCACTGTAGTGAACTAGGCCTCCGACCAAAATCTGTCTCTGAAGACCTTCATGGGACAGGAACTGTTATTTCATTGATTTGAATCCAGAAATACAAATTAGCTCATCCAGAGACTTTCTAATTGTATCCTGAACTAATCAATTGAAAGAACACTCTTCTTTTTATATTATCATTACTATTTTACAATATCTTGATAATCAAAAGTGTGTTTAGTTCATATCATTTCTAATGTTGAAGTGAACCACTCATTTTAAATCAACTGTGAAACAGTATTAATGATTTTTTTAAACCATTTAAATTAGAAATCAAGTTAAATGTCTATTTACAAAGTAATTATGCATTTTGATCTTCTGTCTGAATGAGAAGTCAGTGATGTCGGTCAAAAGTCAGAGACAGTCCGAGAACGAGTTATTAGAACGAACTGTATTGTTTTTAAACCTAGCAGACAGTAAATAACTGCCACTGGCATCTGCGTTCCTCTCACTTCTTCAAAACATTTCTCTGTCTATACTAAACTTTCCTAAACATTCTTGCACCCTCTCTTGACTTTTAATAACCCTCTGACATCACTAGAACCACCCCCTGTTGGTTGTTTCAACCAATCCGGAAGTACTAAGTGACCGGAAGTGAGGACTCTTTAAAAAGTCCACACTTCCTGGAACTATTCAGTCTTGGACTGGAGTCTTGGACCAGTCTTTCATGGAGTCTTCTCGACTCTTCAGTCTTTGATCTGAGTCGAAGTCAGTCTTTGATGGAGTCTTCTCAAGCCTTCTGGAGTCTTCCACTTCTGAGTGGAATCTCTGACGGAGTCACAGATCCTTGCTGTGAACTCACCCGGGCGTAACGCCTACAACTTCGAAGGAAGCCTGTTTGTTGAACGGAGTAAATCGACACGACTTCTGACAATGACCAGCCGCTTTAACCGGAGACGCTGGAAAGGTAGCGTGCATCGGGACATCTATACCAGAGCTGATCCTCATCTGCCAAGGTAAAGAGACGTCACGAGTGTCGCGCACTAATTGTACCGGAGGTTTGAGCTGGTGTTGAAAGAAGCGTGCTAATTCTGGTCAACACAAACCTACATCTTTCCTTCATCCATCTTCCTCTAAATAACTCCTCTAGTAAATCTTTCTGCCAGTAAATCCATCTAGATGCCTTCAGAAATGTTCTGTTGTCTTATTAGTAAAGCGTGCCAAGTTTTATTAATCAGAACCAGATCAACAGATCCTTGTGTACATGTTTTGATGTTAAAATTTGATTCTGTTAAATAAATGACCGCATTTATTCTGATGGGTCAAAGGAAAATAACGTCTCCTGTCACTGATTAAACAATGAACACAGTTATCTCAGTCACATGGCATTAATTTAACTTGAAAAAGAAAGAACCCGTTGTAAATAATTAATTAGTAGTGAAGGTACAGCAAAGCTGTCCATTGACATACTACTACATTCAGTGGCCCGTGTGTCCACAGTTAAGCTGTCCCCCATCTTTACTACACCATGATGCTGCCACCACCATGTTTGACAGTGGGGATGGTGTGTTCAGGGTGATGAGCTGTGTTGCTTTTACGCCAAACATATTGTTTTGCATTGTGGCCAAACAGTTTGATTTTGGTTTCATCGGACCAGAGCACCTTCTTCCACATGTTTGGTGTGTCTCCCAGGTGCTTGTGGCAAACTTTAAACAACACTTTTTATGGATGTCTTTGAGAAATGGCTTTCTTCTTGCCACTCTTCCATAAAGGCCAGATTTGTGCAGTGTCCAACTGATTGTTGTCCTATGGACAGACTCTCCCACATCAGCTGTAGATCTCTGCAGTTCATCCAGAGTGATCATGGGCCTCTTGGCTGCATCTCTGATCAGTCTTCTCATTGTTCCAGATAAAAGTTTAGAGGGACGGCTGGGTCTTGGTAGATTTGCAGTGGCCTGATACTCCTTCCATTTCAATATGATTGCTTGCACAGTGCTCCTTGGGATGTTTAAAGCTTGGGAAATCTTTTTGTATCCAAATCCAGCTTTAAACTTCTCCACAACAGTATCTCGGACCTGCCTGGTGTGTTCCTTGGTCTTCATGATGCTCTCTGCGCTTTGAACAGAACCCTGAGACTATCACAGAGCAGGTGCATTTATACGGAGACTTGATTACACACAGGTGGATTCTATTTATCATCATCAGTCATTTGGGACAACATTGGATCATTCATAGATCCTCACTGAACATCTGGAGTGAGTTTGCTGCACTGAAAGTAAAGGGGCCCAATAATATTACATGCCCCACTTTTCAGTTTTTTATTTGTTAAAAAAGTTTGACACATCCAATAAATTTCATTCCACTTCATGATTGTGTCCCACTTGTTGTTGATTCTTCACAAAAAAATTTAATTTTATATCTTTATGTTTGAAGCCTGAAATGTGGCAAAACGTTGAAAAGTTCAAGGAGGCCGAATACTTTCACAAGGCACTGTAACTGTTTGACTAAACATGCCTTTAAAAATTACCTTACAATCCCTTTAATCAAACCTTTCATGTTGGGTGTAATTTAGTCCTTGTGCAGAGCAGGTTTGGAGTTGATTCAGCACGTCCAGAATGAGCACTTGTCATTAAATAATTTCTGGAAGTTGCTTGAGGCTCGGTGGTTGTACAGTTCAACGACCATCATGTGGGGTGTACTAATGTCACAGTTGCTTGATTTTGTCACCACTGGGTTTCTGAGGGTGCACACCCATTTCAGGAAGGTTTCATTTGTCCAACAAAGACCACCCTAAGGGATGGATGTCTTGCCATGTGCTTAGCATTTACAGGACCCCAGGATTTTCACACCTGTCATTCAGTCACAGATATGAAATGGACTTTTTGCAACACCTTGTGTTGTCCTGCACCATGTCTCTATGACTGGCACCAGCTGAGTTATGGGCTCATTGTTCCATGCAAAGGTGGCATTAATATTAGAGTCCATGTATCACCAGAGCAGAGGCCGCTGCATGTAATCCTTGTAATATGTGATCCTTCAAGGATTTCCATACATGTAATCCTTCCAGGAAATACTGGACCCCATATAGGAAGCCAGAGCAGGTTCCAGTTCAAGATTTAGGTCCCAGTCCCTCCACATAAGAAAATGGAATGTTAAAATAAAATAAAAATACACCTCAGATTTTTATTTTTATTTTGATTTATTTGAAAATAAATTATCTATGTTGACTAGTTGTTTCACACAGTTGTGACCTGGCTACCATTTGCTCAAAGATTCATTTTTCTTCTACATTTAGCTCAAATGAACTATTTCATGCAAGAAAGGGAGTAGGCAAGTTTGTAGACCTCAAGTCCTACATACCTAGTTCTCAGTCTGGTTCCAAACGTGAGAACCTTCATTAGGCACCTTCAGGTGCTATTTATAGGACTGAGTTTGTTTGTGGCTCTTTGGACTGATGAAAGATGAAACGTTTCAACAACAAGAAGAAACCATCCAGAGGACCTGCCTGAACTTTGTTGGATTTTTCTACCTGGATTATAGAGCATGCATCAAGTTGTCTGAGATTAGTTTCAATGATTTTAATGTACTGAAGGTTGGTATTGGTGTCAGTGCATGCTTATTTAAGATAGACTTTACCTTATGTTTTTTACAGAGAACACTTCATGTACCATAATGTTCACAATAAGCCACTCACCAGTATTTTGGATTAGAAATCCAAGCATGGAGACATTTTTTCTCTTACCCCAGGATCCTGTCCCCCACACCCTTTGTCACTGAGCTGTCCATTGCAGTGAGTAGCTATCGGAGCTACGTCACTGGATGACACTCCCAGCACATACATGTCAAGTCTTATTCATTCATTCAACCTTTATTTAGGGTACATTCACACCAGCCCTGTTTAGTCCGCTTTAATCGAACTCTAGCTCATTTTCCTAGAAAGTCCGGTTCGTTTAGGGAGGTGTGAACGCGCCATCGAACTCTGTCACGGAACAAAAAGGCGAACTCTGGCCCGGGCTAAAACCTAGGTCTCGGTCCGGTAGAAGAGAACTCCAGCGCGGTTCGAGTACAGTGTGAATGTAAACAGACCGGACCCCGCTCCGCAGGGTAAACAAACACGCATTTCTCTGACCTTATATGGAGCCGTCAGCTGCCTTGTGTGAAAAACAATATTCTCCATGGTCTTCTGTCTCATCTTCTGCTCATGCTAAGTCCATTTTTGAAAAATGACAAAATATAACTCCTAAAACTGCTAAAACTTGATGCCACTTCTTTTTTATTTTTATTTACAGAAGAAGAAGAAGACGTGTCTTCAGAGGTTTTTGTGTTGTTTCTTTCAGTAGCTCTTGGTGCAGCGCCCCCACAGGCGAGCGGGGGAATAGGTTGGTTCAACAGGTTGACTCGACTGCACAGTGCAGTGTGAATGCAAACGCACCAGCTCAAATGTAAACAAAAGGTCATGAATATTGGTTCTGAACCGAACCGAGTCTTCCGGACCATCTGGTGTGAAAACGACCTTAGACAGGTAAATCCCATTGAGCCTCGAGGACTCATTTACAAGAGAGACCTGATTTAACAAAGAATGATGACAACAATGGACAACAGCGACAACAATAATAAGTCTTAAGGATTTTCTGTAAATTTTTACAAAATTTTCCCCATTTTTTATGACTACAGATGTACAGAAAAAGTTGTATGGATTTTTCTAAAACGGCTTCAAATTTATTTTACGTCTTAGACCTAGCCCATAAAGAAATGGTATGGTCGCCCCCTCCTTGTCCTCCTTGCTCCGGGGCGCCTCCGCTGCAGCAGCCACAACCAACCCCCTGCCCCACTGTGTAAGAGTTGTGAATTTTACTGATTTCAAGTAGGGATGTACGGATCCACATTTTGTTACTCCGATCCCGTTCCAATATCATCATCGTTATTGATTTTATGTGAGGCTGTAATAATCTCTTCTCTATAGGCAAGTACAATTTGTACAAATAAATGCATGTATGTCCAAAAAGGCAACATGAGGTAAGTTTTATTAATGTTGGATAAGTTTAAAAGTTAGAATTAATTCCTGCTAACACAAAACATGTTTTTTTCCCCTAGCTTTAAAGTGAATATTAAAGTGATTAGATGGCTTTAAACATCTGCTAAATTCATGGCATATACCTACACAAAGAGCCGTGCTCAGTCTGCCCCTCCTCAGACACGGACAGACTGAGAGTGGCTGACTGAAATCAGACTGCCTTCTCCGGACTGAACGAAAATAATAGACTGCTGAAGCCCCGGAGCTTGCATGTCCATCGTAAAACTAACTTTATCACGGTTTAATGTGGTGCTATGGCTCTGCAGCCATTGCACGTTGCTGTCTTGTTTTGTGGTGTTTAGTGTAAAATACTTCCACACAGTGGACATGTTTCAATGAAAAGTTAGTTAGCTGTTAGCCACAGTGCTGCTGCACGTTGTAGCTGGCTGCAAACTATGAAATGGATTTCCTGAATGTGAGGCGGGTCTTATTACTCTGGGTTCATGAGACACGCCTCCGTTCAGGAAATCCATTCCATAGTTTGAAGCCAACATGCATCATGGATCGGAAATATCGGCAGGTTTGTTCGGAAAAATCCGATACGTAAATTTTGCTGGTATCGGAGCCCGATACGGATACTGGATCGGATTGGCCCCATCCCTAATTACAAGACCACAGCACTGACCACCAAGCTACCATAGAGCAGGAAACAAGTCGCAGTGGAAACTCACCTACACCTGAGAATAACCAGTTAGACGAGAACCAAGTGGAGTCACACTCATCAACGACAAAGAGGCTTGAATATCCCTAGGTGTGAGAGAAAGTGTGAATGGTTGATTATCCAGTGGTTGGCTTGGAAACATATTTCATCCATGTCTCAGACATGCTGATGAATGACAAATCTGAATCTGAATTGGTGCCAGGTGTGAACAGTTGTACTTACAAGTCCACCTGTGACTGAGTCAGCCAGAATGCATGTTACTGTCATGTTTAAAAGAGGGAACCCTGATCTGTTTGTAGATTATATTTATCATTTTGTTTTTGTGCAGGTAATGAACATGTATGGAGACCTGGTCATGGATTATGTTCCTGATAAAGTAAGAATTAATTTATTATGCCTTTTTTAACTGAGATGCTCTCGGTAATGATTGGAAGACTGTTCCAATTTAAGATCAAGTTATTTTCTGCCAGCAACTGGCTGAAGATGAGCATTTATTTACATTACTTAGACTGCAAAGTAATTTTTTATAAGAGCCCGACCGATATATCAGCGAGGCCGATATTTTAGGCCGATATGGGCATTTAAGGACATTTTGTATCTGATATTTGGCCCGTTGTGCCCCGATATAAACACTTCTAATGTTCACTCCTAAAACAGTGGGAACAAGCCGTGTTCTTACTGGCGAATGGCATACTTGTACAATGTATCCAGCAGAGGGCGCATGCAGACTACTTTCAAGTCATGGCCGTTCACTTGACTCACAGCACTGTCGAAGCAGCGAACAACTAAATACTGCGTAGCGTATTTTGCTGAATGGCTTATGGTAAATTTATTTTAACATCTGTAAAATAAAAAATAAAAATTATCTTTAATCCTCCAACCCACTACATGCCTAAGCTAACGTTTAGATAGCCTAGCATAGGCTAATGCCTTGCAAAACTTTATCCAGAACAGTAAATCTAACGTAGAGGTAAAATATATCAGGATTAGTAACTTTATCTTTGTTGTCCACAATGAAATGTTTGTCTGAAATCTACTTCTCTACAAAGAAAAAACAAATGCTGCTGCGGTCAATGTTAATTAGACCTTCACCATAAGTAGCCGACTGTTGAAACAATGAACAGGAAGAGTGTTTCTTTGTTTAGTTTATATTTTTGTAACACACTTGATAACTTTATGGAGAATAGTGTAGGATAGAAAATATGAACGCACGTTAGGAAGATGTTTCAAGACTTCAAGTGTTAAAACAGGTTTAAAAGTAGCTGTTTACTTAGATTGAGTGGACAAAGCTAAAAAATAAAATTCAGCCATTATATTGGTTATCAGCGGTCGCCGTCCCCTCCCAGTATCTGTATCGGCTATAGTCAAAATGTCTATTGGTCGGGCTCTAATTTTGAATTTGTTTAAAAAATATATATCTAAACAGTTTTCAACCCTTCTCTGTTGTGTACAATCAGTAAACTGGTCGTGAAAGCACAAAATGTTTCACATTCAGACATTTCTTTAAAACATTTAAAGAAAAGATGAAGACACTTTGGTAGAATGTTACTAATAAACCTTCAATAATACTTGTTTAACTTGATGGTTACATCCAGAAACACATTTTTATATTTCACTTTATTGTTTGAATATTGAAAATAAATGTGAATTTATATGTCCATTTGAGTAAAATGAGTGTTTGGCACACATTATAATTTAATGTCCTTTACCACAGCTTCTGTTTGCTTTTTGTTTTTATGTTGTCCTCAGGTCCACTTTTTTAACAGCTTCTTTTATGATAAGCTAAGAACAAAAGGATATGAAGGAGTTAAACGGTGGACAAAAAATGTAAGTACAACCAGAACCATGACACTTTTTCTATTCATTACAGGGATTTTACTCCTGCTAACATTAGAACGACACATTCTTTTGTGTATAAAAATGTGACTCTGGCGTAGGGGCCGAATTAAAAAAGTGCCCTGAAATATTCAGATTTATCAAACCGTGTGCATCCACGTTTCTGCTCACCTTTCCTTCATAATACCCCAACGAGCATGGACCTATGCACACGCGATACCTCACCTGGCACGCCTCCATTTAAATATGCAAGTAAATGCAGATGTGTCCTGCATGTGAGATTCTCCTTTCTGCACGATCAAAATTGATGTCTTGAAGCAGCAAATTCAAGGTTTTGTAAATGTCAGAGACGCTCCTAAATAAGTGGTGGGCATAAAAATGTGTTGACACTCATGTGCAAAGAGTGATTTTGTGGGAAGCTGCGCTTGTCATTGAATTAACTGAACCGGGGGTGCAGATCTGCCTGCGGCACACTTCTGAGGCTGAGGCATTTCCAACTTTATGCGAGCTTGATAGAATTTAGGGGTCATTCATAATATTCAACATTTTCACAAGCATACAAAATGTACGCTTTTTTTAAGTTTAAATTTATTTATTTTCTGAAAAGTGTACACCAGTCCATTGAAACCAAATGGAGTTGTATTCTGGTGTATTTAGGTGAGTTTTAGTACTTTGTAGTTTTATACTGTCAACCGAAAACGTGTGGTGGTAATCACATTGTCATGGCAGGTCACTTTCACACATTCATGTTGATGCATCCTGACGTGCACATGGAACCTGACACAAGCAACCTTTTTGTGCATACAGGTGGCTCCAGGTGATTACAGTAGAAATTATGAAACGCATTTAGCTTAACGGTGCAGAAATCATACAATTATTTTGAAGGGAGTTTAAAAATGTAATCTCTCTTTGGGAATTATTAAATGTAGGAAAACTGAGAACGTTTCCAGCATTATTTTGAATTTCTCTGCCAACTTTATTTTGTAAAGATGCTGCTGTGCTTTAGTCGGTTTTTTTAGGCCCAGTCAAGGCTGGTATCTGTGCAGTTCATAACTTCAGGTTGATGTCACATTTAATTCAATTTACTGACCTTATAAAGAATCTTTATTCCTTAAAGACAGGTGTTTAATTGCTCCTTTTACTAAATTTGTTCTTTCCTTTGATGTCAGGTTGAAATTTTTCAGAAGGATTTGTTGTTGATTCCCATTCACCTCGAGGTCCACTGGTCACTGGTCAGTGTGGACATTTCTCGTAGAACCATTACCTACTTTGACTCTCAGCGGACCCTCAACAGGCGCTGTCCAAAGGTACGACGAGACAAACACACCAACAGAGACTCTGATACTGACACATGTTTTAAAATGTGCTATTATAACACTAATGGTAAAAATAATAATAATAATTTTGTAAAAAAATAAAATAAAAATTGTAAGCTCAATCATCAAGGTACATAAATCACAATAAAAAAGGTTAAATCAGGTCGTCTGGACGGTTTTGTTTTGGGAGAAATGTTTCGTCTTTCATCCAAAAGACTTCATCAGTCTGAGGCCTGCCAACAAGAACTATCACCTTCACACTATCTTGGCCCCTATATGAAGTATATATTTAAAATATTTTAATAGGAATTGTTTAAAAGACCCAACATTTGCATATAAAGAATTTATGTTGACATTATTGATCATTGTAAGGTAATCCCTTTCCCTCCAGTTGTCCCTCACTCTGGATAATCTACCTGAAATTATCCAATATCCACGTCTTTTCAGCAGCCCACATCTTCGGGCTGCTGTTTAATATGGGGGAGTGGTGGCGCAGAGGTTAGAAGATGGGACTGTGATCGGAAAGTTGCAGGTTCAACTACTGGTACTGCCAACGTCAAAATGTGGGTGGAAAAGCTGAAACATCCACACCTGCCTCCACCCTCATTCGCCCCACTCTAGGCCCCTGAGCAAGGCCCTTAACCCCCACCATCTGCTCCTAAACAGGTCTCTCTTGAAAATGAGTTCTTGTGACTCAATGAGACTACCTGTATAAATATAGGGTAAATGAAAAAAATAAAAAATATATATATATACCGTATTGTTTTACGTTATTAGTGTTTAGCATATATCTTAGATCCTCATATGCTGTTTTTTTAATACTTTGTGTTTTTGCTGTTTTTGGGTGTGGGTGGGACCCTATGTACACAATTTCGTTCCACTTCATTCCACGTGTGATACGAATGACAATAAAGAATCTTGAACCTTTTGACTGACAGGACTCCCAGTGCTGTATGAATGATGTGTGGATGGGTAAATGAGGCACAGATTGTTTTGTAAAGCACATGGATTAGCAATTAAAACATGTTGTTGGTGTACTTGATGTATTTCATTTACTTTTGTTTAACTTTTCAGCATATTTTCAAGTATCTTCAAGCTGAAGCCATCAAAAAGGATAAACAAGACTTTTTGACTGGGTGGAAAGGCCTTTTTAAAATGGTAAATGCTTCTGTTGTGATTTGTTTTAGTTTTTTTTGTTTGTTTTATTGAACTTGCTAAGGAGATGGAACGGAATCTCATTGCAATGTGTTTTACTGTGTTTGAAGTGACTGCATGGTGCTTTGGGATGTTTGGAGTGACTACAGTGTGTCTTGAGGTGTTTGGAGTGACTGCTGAGTGTTTTGAGGTGTTGGAGAGTGACTGCTAGGTTTTTTGGGGTGTTTGGAGTGACTGCAAGTTGCTTTGGGGTGTTTGGAGTGACTGCAGGTGGCTTCGGGGTGTTTGGAGT